AAGCGCCAGGTGAACCTTTGCAAGAACCTCGTTCAGTCTTTAGTGGCGATAAACAATGTCAAGGATACATCTCCAGAATCTTCCCCTTGTCTCCGTGCATTTCGCCCCATTTCGCGGTACCTTCGGCCAATGCCTCTACCAGCGCGGAGTCATACTGCTTCCCATTCTCTGCCCAACCGACCTTGACAGTTCTCCAAGTCAACCAGTCCTGCGCTAGAACGCCCTCCGGAGCCCGAAACAGCCCCACGGCGACGTTGAAGAGTCTGTCACCATCGACCAGAGCGCGTTCTGGTCCGCTGTAGAAGGCCAGTACCGAGGCGCCACAGACTCCGCAAAAGGAACGAGACACCTTCTCCGTCGACTGGAACATCTTCGAGGTCCCGAGTGTGAGGTCCTCTGGGATCTGGGGCGTGATGCACGATTGGGGTACGAACGCCCAGCCGGTGATGTGGGCGCCTGTCTGGAGCCTGCAGTCACCGCAAGTGTCTGTTCCAGCCACCCATTTGTTCGGTTCCGTGGGCGAGATCCAGTCCTTGTACGATTCGACGCCGGCTGATGGTCTTGAGACGGTGAAAGACACCCCTCCGCAGTGGCATTGAGCTCGAAGCACTTCCTTGCCGTCGTCTCCAACTTCAGGTCTGCGAAGTTTGAGCTTCGTATCTGGCTTCGGATTCCAGACTTTCAACTCCTTGCCAGCAATACTTGGGAGCCAGTCGTAGAGCCCCCCTCCCAGCGCCGGGTGCGTGTTGACATGCTGCCTAATATCCCATACCGCGGGAACGTCGTCCTTGTTGGCGTCGAAGATGGATGCAGAAATGACCCAGTCGTCGTCTTCAATGCCTTGATCTCCAATGTGGCAGCTGCAGGTGCTGCAGAAGTAGCGCGTGCTTGCCGCAGAGGCGTGGCGGTAGGCGGTCAGGGCCGAGAGCGAGGACGGTGAGATGAATGACGGGGCGACGCCGGATGGGAGTGGTGCGTGGAAAATGCAGAGTGTGCCGTGGGTGTAGCGGCAGATGCTGCAGTGGCATAAATGGACTTTGAGCGGGAGGGACGAGTCCGGGACGGTGATTGTGAAGTGGATGGCTTTGCAGTAGCACTGGGCTGTGAGCGTCTTGCTCCCGTTTGGGTGAGTGTCCTGATCTTTCTCCATGGTGTACGTGAGATGACTGGAGGATTCGTAAGTGGGAGTGAGATGGGAAGTCGATTTTGTGATGAGTTGAATTTGAAGATGAATGAAGCGGTGGGCTGAGGGGAGGTTGGCCGTGGCGCGCTGACTGCCAAGTTCTCGTTTCAACCCCGCGATTCTGGTGTCAACGGCAGGGCGTACAGGCAGCAGCGAGATGTAGAACCAGTCACTCAAACACAGGCCCCAGGAAAATCATGCTACGGGGCGGGGTTGAAAATTCGGCGAGATCTTGCATTGGTCAAATTTCTATATAAATGTCTCGGGTATCATGCTACGTATCATAAATGCAATCAGTGGTGGTATCACAATTCTCAAGCAGTGCCTTTCTTCTTCAGCTCCTTCTCCTTTGCTGCCTTGCGCCATTTGACTCCCCAGTACATGACGGCTAGCAAAGACGGGCTAAACACGACATAAAGGAGAGCCAGGAGTGTGAAAGCCCAGCCAACTCCCATTCCGTTGATCATGGGCAAGATGGCAGCGGTCGCAGCGGCGCCCAGCAGGCATCTAGTGAAGTTGTTTGCCGCCGTAGCTGTGCCTGCTTTGCCTGGGTGAATGTCGACGATGAGAGTGTTGGTGGTGTTGTTAAAGCCGATCATTCCGACTCCAAAGAGGAAGAGGAGTACGCAGGGAACTGCTACCGGCGCACCAACCTGGAGAACCCATCCCCAAATCAAGAGCAGAATCGAGCTGAAGAACAGCAAAGGCAGGCCTATCTCGAGGCGAGCCTTCTCAATGGGAAAATCAGACAGGTCCTGCTGACGAGACTTATCGTACGGGATGCCCAGGCGCCTACAGTGCCGACGGTAGTTCCAGTTGATAAGGGGTCCAACGACGAACCCCGCGACAACAGACCCTCCAGCCAACGGCAGGTACATGAGCCCAACTTTCAAGCTGTCAAAGCCGTACAGCTGCGCGAATTGGGTTGGCATGGAAGCGGCGATGGCATAGAAACCGGCGAAAACGATGGCGCTGAAGCCCAAAAGAAGGCCCATTTCCTTGTGAAAGAGAAGCATGAGGGAGGCGAAAGGGTTGATCTTGAACGAAAGGGATGGTCTTGCGGTGTTCGATGTTCCTCCAGTTGTCGTTCTAGTTATTTCGTCGCCGCGAGTCCTCTTAGATCTGAGGTAGTCCTTCAATAGCTGGTAGCCGGTGCGGTACAGTCGCGGGGGTCGAGCGGAGCCGTCATCCACAATTCTTCGACAGGTTTCTGGGAAGAAGAGTAGCAGGGCAATGAAGAATACGCCGGAGAGGATGGCCAGAAACCAGAATATGGCCCGCCAACCCAGGAACTGGGTCAGGATGCCACCGAGGACTGGGCCAAGCGCAGGCGCAAGAACGATTGGAACGACGGTTATTCCAATGTATTGACCCCTCTCTGCGCTTGTCACGACGTCTGCAACGACAGCGGAGGCGAGTGCAACTGTGCTACTCGAGCCGGCCGACTGTAAACACCGGACGACGAGCAGAGAGGCGTAGTTCTGTGACAAGGCGAGGCCGATATTGGCGGCGATGTAAACGACGAAGCAGATGACATAGGCTGGTCGTCTGCCGCTATTGTCGGCTAGCGAACCGATGAACATGGGTACAATACCCTGGAAGATCATGTAGGTCGTAAGGGTGAGGTTCATGTCAGAGTCAGAGACGTTGAAATCCTCGGCCAGAACCGTGAGGGCGGGCAGGTAAATCTGAGCGGTGAAAGGAGAGAAGAAGGCGGCCAAACAGGCACCTAGCACGATGAAACGTTTCTCCCATGTCGTGTAAATGGAGTATCGTGGAGGTTGCTCTGGTTGCTCTGAAGGCGGTGCTGCTGTGGCCTCAACATCTTCCAGATCCGACTTTGTCGAGCCGGTGGGCGGTACTGACTTCTCGGAGGGCACTGGGCTTGATGGTCTAGACATCGTGGGTGGGCTGATGGTGGTTTCGCTTCTTCTGTGTGCCAAGGGGATGGACCGTGGAGAGTGGGTTGAAGTCCAATTATAGTCGCATCGTTGTCCGGCAATAGGACTTTAGGAGATTGTGGAAAAAATGGCATATGAGGCTAAGAATCTCGCTAAACAGCGACGGCGATGAGATAATGGATCATCGCCTCGCGTGGCCTATTGTTGGTCAGTATGGGCGGCATCACTATCGAGCGACACTGCATCTCGGTACCGAGTCGGCGACCGCCTGCGGAATCCTGTGGCCATAATGGAGACGGTATTCTCCACGGCGGTATCACGTTGGCGGGCCATTCTGGGGTTAAGCTTCTGGTTCCTGAATGCGCCGGCGCTTGCTTTCTTTTGTACCGGGCGAGGCTGATGGTAAGTCCGATTTCGTCAAGCTGTGATCAAGATGCAATCATGAAGAGTCACCGGTGCTCGTGAAGCTACTAGCGGTCCGCCATCGGCGAATACGTAAGAGCACTTCGGTCGAAATGCTGGTTCGCAGCGCATTCCATGTAAGCACGCATGATGCAAGTCGAAAAGAACTGACCACAGGTGCTAGAAAGAGCAAATGAACAAGTGGATGTCGATATAGGAACCGTCAGTATGTACGATGCTGGAAACAAGGTATCAAAGGTAACCGTCGCGATTGCCTTCCGGGAAGGACCGTGCATCCCGCATCGTGTGTGTACTGCTTCCACACGGCTTCTTGCACTGGGCTGCCTCTTCTTCCGAATTGGAAGGCGGTGACGTGTTTTCCTGGGCGTCTCCCTTGCCCGAGAAGCCACTTGTTGTAAGTAGATTGAGCTCCAGCTTGTCGTCGGCAAGGCAAAGGGGAGCTGCGCATTCGAACACCTTTCGCTCCAACCACAAGTCTAGTCCTTGATCTTTCTTCGATTTTTGCAGAAGCTCGCCTAGACAAGTCGCCTCGCGCAAACTGAAACAGTATGGTTAGTCGGGACCCTAAGCACCTGTTTTGCGCCTGCACTGCTAACTGTTAGCTGCAGAACGTCCAGTACAACTCGGCCCTGCGCCAAAGCAAGGCCATCCGCAAAGATCTTGAGAAGCTCTCCGACTCCGCAGCCCAAGCCGTCGCCCTGACCCCATCCGAGATCGGCAACGTCTCTGCATCCCTCGCCTCCTTCTCCAAGACCATCGACGAGTACAACCAGCTTGCGCGCCAGGAGCTCGTCCCCAAGAAGCAAGAAGAGGCCTTCGAGCGTGTCAAGCGGTTTCGCGACGACCTGGCCGACTTCCGATCCCAAGTCGACGACCTCAAAAAGGCGCGCGAAGATGCCGTCCACAGCAACAACCGAGGCGAGCTACTGGGCCGTCGAGCCTATGTCACTTCGACACCAGAGAACCCCTACGCCAACGTCAACAAGTCGTCCTCGTTCCACAGCAGAGGCGCTTCAACAGGAGGCCAGATTGGTGGTTTGAGTATGGGTGGAAACGATGTCACGAGAGAGCAGCACGCGCTGCGGGAGCAGAACTTCTTTGCGCAGACAAATTCAGCACTGGATGAGTACATTGCTCGCGGCCAGGCTGTCCTCGGCGACCTTGGAACACAGCGCGAGATGCTCAAGAACACCCAAAAGAGGCTATACTCAGTCGGCAATACGCTGGGCATCTCCGGTGACACTATCCGCATGATCGAGCGCCGTGCGAAGGAGGACAAGTGGATTTTCTGGGCTGGCGTCATCGTCTTCTTCCTCTTCTGCTGGCTGGTCCTACACTTCCTGCGATAATTCGTTTGTTTCTTCATTACGTGGCGTTGGGGGCGGCGATCAAAAGTCCGCGACATCTCAGGGCATTTAGGGGGGCATGGCGTCTGGTGTCGGTGGCCGAGTATTCAGAAACACCGTGTACAGCAAGCGACAGTCGACGTTGGTTTATTCTATTCCCGCGAGGGCAATCGTGAAAAGCACAGTCTCTGTTGTCCCGATCTTGACCACCTTCGTCTCGGGTAGCACATGGTTGCTGGTGCTCATATGGCCTCCAAACTTGGTTTCCCAGTCCACAACATCCCACTCGAGCCCCTCGGTGGTGATGTAGCTCGTTCCTCCAATGGGAATGATGCCGACATGTTTTCCAAAGACGTCCTCGCCGCCCTCCCGCACTTTAATGCTGTGGATTCCTGGCTTCAGCAGGAAGGTCAAGCTCTGGCCGGACACCAAGTACATCTTGCCCTCATCATACCCCGGTCCTGGCTGCGAGAGATATAGCTGGTGTACCTGACTGAGGCCCTGGTCCACTCGGCCGCCGAGACCTCCAAGGGCAACAATGTCGACGTTGGGGTGTTGTGATCTGATCCAACGAATAGACTTGCCGAAGTCTGTCGAAATCTGGTCGGGCATATGCACGATCTGGGCGGGCTTTTCCAAATTGGTGTAGAAGTCTTTGGCCACAGGATCTAACGAGTCCAAGTCTCCGATAATGGCGTCAAGATTGGCCTGCAGCGATTAGAACGGCGCACTTCGGCATTCAGAGGTTCAAACGAACATAAGGAGTGGTCTGCGACTGCGACTGCGACTGTGTCGCTTTGCTCAGATCAAGAAGTCGATTCGCTCCGCCGTCCGCAGCAACTCTTACGATGGCTACGAAAGGCGTCAGTATTCCGCGTGAAAAATATCAGATACCAAATCGTACCATTCTGCCACAACAAATCAAGTACCGGGGTCTGCTTCAGTGGCTGGTTGAGCACAATGAGAGCAAATGCAGCAGGCTCGGTATCGGGCTGCCTGTCTCGCAGAAATGCAATGGGGCGCCACTCGAAGCTCGGCGATGACATCTTGTGAAGTTACTCGTCTACCCCGCCAAACGACAGCAAGTCGAGCTTCTATGTACAAATATTCCACCTGCACAGGTAGCCAAAATAGTCCGAAAAGAAAGTCAGTCAGAACCAAGCATCACAGGTGGCCTAGAACAATTTGAATGAAGAATAAAAATGTTCCCCTCAGCTGTATCACCAACGTCTACAAGGGGTTATCTTTTGACAGACAGCTGCGTGCGGGATATGTAGATGTCATTTGCAGAGCACCAAAAAAGGAATCAACTGCATAAAGTGACCCAACCGACTTGATGACCAGTAGAAATGCTTGAATGACCCCGATTTTTCCTCTGATTTCTTTTTTTCCTGCTGGGCCGTCCGATCGGCCGAAGCCAGCCAGGTGCAAGGGTGCAGATTGCGCCGCGTAAACCCCGGCAGAACCCGAAATCGAAGCTTCAATTTTCTTTCCGAATCTGTAGATTACCAACCAGTCTATCGGCTCCTCGACCGCGCCCTCCGCGAATCTAATTACCTTGCCTCTTCCCCTTTGTCTTCTTACCCCGTCTTTGGTTTCTTTGGTCCCTGGTTTTCAGCATTCACAATGTATCGCAGCGCTGTCCGCACGACGCCCCGCGCCTTGAGCGCCGCCCGCCAATCCGCAATTCGCGCAGCCCCTCGCCGATTCGCCTCGACAGCACCCGCCGACAAGCCCCGGACATGGAAGAGCTCGGCGTTGAGATGGGGTGCCGCCTTTGGTGCGCTCTACTGGTACAACACCAGCCCAGTCTTCGCCGAGGAGCCCGTCGGTACGTCTGGCATCACAGTCCTTCTACAAACGCAAGGGATACATGATTAACTCTGTCCGCGACACCAGCCCGCACGATTCCCGCGCCCTCCCAGTTTTCCGATGCCGACCTGACCACCGTTGACGCCATCGTCGAAGAGAAGCGCAAGCGCGCGATTGTGAAGGCGGAGCAGCCCAAGCCCGCTCCTGCGGCCGACAACGCACAGGCGATTCAGACCGAGGGCGAGCCGGCGCCCGGTTCTCCCGAGGCCCTGGAGGCGGAGGCCGACCAGCAGGGTGCTTTCAACCCCGAGACGGGCGAGATCAACTGGGACTGCCCGTGCCTCGGCGGCATGGCCGACGGACCCTGTGGCGAGGAGTTCAAGGCTGCCTTCAGCTGCTTCGTCTACTCCAAGGAGGAGCCCAAGGGCATGGACTGCATTGAGAAGTTCCAGTACGTTTACATGAATCCACATGGTTATGGTTTGTTACGGATATGCTAACTATCTGTAGGGGAATGCAGACGTGTTTCCGCAAGTACCCCGACGTCTACGGTGCTGAGCTTGCCGACGACGAGGAAGGTCCCGCCCCCGACGATGCCCAGCCCACTCTCGACGCCAACGCCGATGCTTCCATTCCGCCCGCCGCCGAAGAGAAGAAGGAGGCTCCCAAGGAGGCCAAGCAGGAAGCACCCAAGGAGACGAAGACCGAGGCCCCCAAGGCCGAGATCAAGAGCGACTCGGAGATCAAGAAGGTCGAGATCAAGTCCGAGCCCGAGAAGAAGGAGACGGAGAAGAAGACCAAGCCCAAGAAGGCTGTCAAGGTCGACAGCGTTGACCTCACCAAGTCCAACACCGCGGCGACGGATGCCACTGCGGCGAACGACAACTAAACAAAAACCAAAACATCTCCACACCTTTTTTACCATTGTAGAAATCCATGCACGTGGACGGCAGGGATTAGATGCGGACATCGACGAGGAAAGATGTGGACGCAGCAAAAGAGGCAGCTAATGACGAGCATGACGGGAAAATCCGGGCATATTCTGCGTGTACCATAATCGTGTACAAAGTGTATCAGTAGGAACCAACAACCACGCAAAACCACAACCAAGAACAATAGACATACACACACACACACATCTCCAAAGATGTTTTCCTTTTGTCTGAAAGTAGTATGTCAATATGTGTCATTTATGCGACTAGGTGGGTGGTCTTGTGGGTGGGAATAGCCTCACATCGCCCAGCAACGAACACGACAGCATGACTCTTTCATCTCCTTCTGGGCCCATCAGCCCTGAGCCTGGGTAGCAGCACGAACAACACTGCAAACCTCTGTTATTAATGGGCACCCGTCCACCCAATCCCACGCGGGCCCCCATCCTTACAAGGCCCGCTGCATGACAGCGTTCCTGGCCGTTTCCCGGCTTGTTCCCCGGGTCTAGGCCGAACACCCCCATCGCAGAGTGGAGGTATGACGTTGTGATTGGCCGGGAGGTGCACCAGAGTGAGGTGTCCCAAGCTCCCGAGCCGCATACGTCATTGGTCTCCAAGGTTTCCCACGCGCCAACCAAGATCAAGGAAAGCTCGAATCTGTGAGGGGGAGTGAAATTGTACCTTACCTGCACCTGATGACTTGGCCGTGACCAGCTCACGGTGCAGCTGAGGAGGTGGTTTGACCACCACCTCACTTACCGCATCTAGGTACCTACACTACTGCGTCCCTACCTACCTGCCAACCAACCTGACGACCTGACGACCCGCCCTGGTGCGCCATCATTTTACCGCGCCTATTGCCCTTGGCTTCGCAATTTTCCCTCCCCCTCCCGATTCTCGACTTTTCCCTCCTCTTCTCCCGGTTTTCTCCTTCACATGACAGCCACCTCTTAAAAGGCACCTCCCATCATCCATCCCACGTCATTTGCCAGCCTATCACACCTTTTTTCCTCTCGCACACCACCACCACATTCGAAGCTTGCTCCCTCACATCCAACCTCCATCTCTTCAGCTTCATCCCGCACCAGTAATACACAAGTAGGTTTCTTTGTTGCCGTCAAGCGACTTCTCGTGTGTACTAACAGGCAATGCAGTGTCGTACGCCGCCGCTGCAGCCAAGGGCCCCAAGCAGACTCCCGAGGAGGTACGTTGCGAGATCGCGTGATGCTCCTTTTCTCTCCTCCAATGTTTACAATGACGCAAAACCGTACAACATGAACAAAACCCCCCAACTAACTCCCTCTCCTCCAGGCTGCCGCCCCTCAACCCCCTGAAGTCGCCGTCACCGACTCCGCCGCCTCCACCTCCTCCCTCGTCGACGTCGACATGCCGAGCGTACACACCGTCCCCAATGACTTCCTCGAGCAGGAGATCCAGACCGATACCCAGGCCGACCGCCGCGACCGCGAGGAGAAGGCCCGCGCCGAGGCCGACCTCGCCAAGAAGAAGGCCGCCAGCAAGGCCCGCAGGGCCGACTCCTGGCTGAAGCGTCAGTTCGCCAGCCTCAGCGACGGCAGCGCCAGCGCCCTCGTCGTCTCCAACCTTGTTGGCGTCGTCGGCCTGAGCGCGTTCCTCGGATACAAGGCGTGGGGTCTCTACGAGCGCGGCCGTCTGTCGTGGCAGAGCGTCGGCCTCGGCCTGGGCATCTTGGGTGTTGTCGGTCTTGGCGAGGGCGTTCTCGGAAAGTAAGTCGCTGACCCCTCGTTTTTCCCCATGGAGTGATGAAGATCCGATACTGACTACCTTACCTTACAGCTACCTCTACAAGACCAAGGGCAAGAAATGAAGACAAGTCTGTTGTAATGACACTTGGACTTTTGCGGATGGCTTGGAACTCTTATAATTCTACTCATGGGCATGACATGATTGCAGCGCGGACTCGGGCGCGGGGCGAATTTTAACGGTCTTTGACGATATACACGACGTGGAAAGGCTCTCCGCTATGTATGTACTTGGCGTTCAGGGCGAATACGGACACACATGATACTCCTCACCATCTCAACTGAGCTGTCCCACACCAGAAAACATTGCTCGCTTGAATGACTTGCATCTAGGCTCACACACACAGTGTCTTCCCATCCAACCCATCATCCCCATCCCAGTCTACTACTCAAATGAGTCATACCCGAGGCTCACTAGTTTCACAGCATCGTTCCGGATTACTTGCCCACATTTTCAATATCGACAATAAGTATTGAATATACTATAATAGAAAAAAAGGAGACCTGACCTGCCTCACTCTCTTACTCTCCATCTCGGCCCGATAATTTCGCCTCCGCTGCTCATCGCTGGTAGTGGTGGTAGTAATATCGTAGAATCGTACGAGACAACAAAAAAAGTAAGGTGTCGCGAAAGCTCAACATCCCAGTCGCTATGCCGTTTGGTTGCTAACTCCTCCAGCCCCAGTTTGAACCTGCCACCCCAGACCGGACACCAAAGAACGCCCTCGCACTTCTGTCAACTTGCGCTTGATCCAGCCTTTCCATCTTGTTCAAAGTGCCCCCAAAAAAGCCTTTGCTAGCCTAGCCTGCCTTTAAAGCCCTGTGCCCCCTGCTGACCATCGCGTACGAGAGGGTCGTCTTAACATCGAAACGCCGTGTCACCACGAATCCTACACTGACGGATCAAGGCTCTTTCGTTTACTCGGCCTTCACCGCCTGCTGTTCTTCTTTTTTCTTCGTCACACTCCCCCTCTTTTCTGCCCTGTCCCCCCTCATGCGTTGGGTCGGTTGTTGTGCAGCTCTCTCAGTCGCTTCACCCAGTGGTTGCGCAGCGGCGGAGGCATCTTGCAGAAGATCATGGCCTTGTTGTCATCTGTGAGAGCCTTCTCTGCAATCTTAAGCTGGAGATCCATATCCTCATCGGAAAAGTCACGGAAGAAAATATCGATGGCTTGCTCGGGATATCTGGTTGGGCCCCGGATGGCGTCGGCGATCTTGACCAGCCCATCCTCGAGTAGCTGCTTGCCAACATTCATCATCGAGGCCGTCGTCGCGTCCAGGTTGCTTGCAGACGATGACGCCGAGGCGGAGGCCTGGGCGGGGTTGGCATAGCCAGAAATGCGGCGCCGCTTCTCCACCGGCTGCGCCGTGGGGTGGCCCATTTGCGCCGTCGGGGCCTTGTCGGTTGTCGGGGCATGTTGGGGGAATCGCTTGCGTCCCGTCGCCGTCTCCTCGGGTGGCGTGAGGGCGCTGGTGCCTGCGATGTGCGTCCTAGGCGGGATGGTCGTGGATGTGGGTCTT